CCAGGGCTCCTTATATTTTCCCTCCTCTTGAATCTGGCCTTGTGTTAATCAACAAGGAGGGCATTATTCTGAAGCATAGGTCACCATGCCCAGCTTGAAATTGCCCCCTTCTTCCACACAATACCATTCAGAGAAGACAAGGACTATGTGTTAGATGAAGAGAGGTTGCATAAAGAGGCACAACTGACAGCCAAGTGCCTAGGTGTGTGACTGGGCCCTTGGTAGATGCTCTGGGCTCAGGCAATATCACAGATGCTAGCCTTGGCACCAGCTATTTCAAACCACAGCAAAACCCACTCAAGCTACATATTTGTGACTAAACACAGTGGTGGCTTTAATGCCTAACGAGTTGAGTAACATAACACAGCCATGAAAAATGGACACCTGGGAACAGTGACCTTCTCTGTCCTGCCCCAAATCAGATGTGGGCCAGTGCTCAGCTGAGCCAAGCAGCCATGGAAACTGTTACAGGCCTTTCCTCACCTTTCACTCTATCGAGCCTCTCCCAGGAATAAGAAAGCCTACCCAGGGTTCTTGGACTTGAGCCAGTTGAGCAGGGCATCCTTGTTGAAGGCAGCCATGGCAGCCAGGTTGCTCTGTTTCAGCTGGATGTTGGCAATGGTGTCCGAGTGCTGCACTGCCTCAATGAGGCCCGTGCAGTCACCAGTGGGAAGGCAGCCATAGGGGGTCATCCTAGCACATGAGAAGAGGCACAGGCAGACACTATGGTTAAGGACATTCTCTGGGGCTACTGGAACCCCCAGGAAATTGAGGCACCCAACAAAACTATGGGGAACACTGCTCAAATTCCTAAGGATGCCAGACGGGGTGTGGGGCTCTGAGGAAGGTGCCTCAGAGACACAGAACTGGCACCCAAGTTGCAGAGCACACCTTGGCTGGGCTCATGTTTGCTCTGAAGAGAATGAGTCAGTGGGCTTGGAAGAAGGTGGCACTGCTCCCCAAGGGGTAGGAAGCCAGGAAATAGGAGCTGAGCACCAGGAATGGCCTTACCCAAACCCCTCCAGCTGCCCTACCCCTCTTGTGAGAACAGCCGCTCTCACAGCCAACATGGAGGTGTCAGTTTAGACCAGGAACTCCTCCAGGAGCAGGCTCTGAGGCCTATTACAGACCCAAACAAACAGGTGATGGATACAGGCCCCACCTTAGGTCCAGGCCCTCCTGCTTCCACAGGGCGTCCATGAGCTGGATCATCTGCAGAGTCAGCATGTCCTGGCGGAGGTCTGGAAGGGCAGGAGTTTCTAGTGGGTTATAAACCCATGCAAGGCTCAGAGTATCTGAGCTCTGTCTTCTCAGGGAACCCCCTGGGGCCCTACCACAGGACAGTATGGGCCTAGGTGAGAAGGCCAAGGCCTCATCATGTCCCCTGCCCAGCCTTGCTCACCATCCCCGTTCTTAAAGATGATGCTAACGCTGTCACCACTGTCTGCCTCCTCACTGCTGTACATGATCCACAGGGGTTTCATCTTGGAGTCCATGAAGGTGCACCTTTCCACACTGCAGGCAGAGGGCAGTGTTGGCCTGGGCGGTTGGGGGCTTAGGGCGGGGAAGGGGGCTTAGGGCCTGGCTCCAGGTGGGGCTAGACCTGGGGCTCACCAGACTTCTGCCAGCATCGTGCTGGGGTCCAATGGGGACTGCAAGTGTGAAAGGGCTTCTAGATAAGTATCCTGGCGCATGTACAAGTGCATCAGCTCCTTAGTTTGGGGCTTGGTGGTCTTCTGGGAGCTCACCTTCACAAAGTCGCTCAGGGCCTTCAGCTTGCTCAGTGCTTCTGCCTGGTGGGCAGAATGGAGTAGCAGCAGTGCACATGAGCCTGAGCCAGAACCAGGAGTATGACTGTGAAGGGGCCTGGAAGGGGAGCCTGCCTCTGGCACAGGCACTCTGAGCCTCACCTGCTTCATCAGTACCTTCATGTGGTGGGTGCTGCCCCTGAAGTAGGCCTCCATGATGAGGCCAAAATGCAAGGCCACGGATGGCACATGCATCTCAGACCTGGAGGGAGAAGATGGGGCTGAGAATGGCCAGGAGTGGCACATAGCCCCTCCCCAGCCCAGTAAACATGAGGTCAGCAGGCCAGGAGACCCTCATCCCCCATGGCTTTTCTAGGTTCCCAAGGAATCAGCAGGGGTGCATCCAGCTACCGAAGATGCCAGAATAGGAAGTGGCCAATCTTTCGGTTGGCCAGAGCCCGGTCCAACAAGAATTGGGTCAGTTCGCAGTCCAGGTAGGACTTGTACTTGAGGACCTGCACCAGCTGCAGCAAGCACTGGAGAAGCTCGTCATCCCTGTAGGGGAGGAAGGCTGGTAGAGTCTGGGGTTCTGAAACTCAGGACAGAGGTCTCCAGCTGGCAGGTGACTGGAAAGAGGGTGAGGCCAGCCTAAGCTCATCTCCACCCAGCACCCACTTCCAGGTTGCCAGGGCAAGCTGTCTTAGTGAGGAGCTGGCAGCCTGTGGGCCTCAGTGCCCAGCTGGGACTCACGTTAGTTTCTGCAGGGACCTGATGGCAAAGGAGCCCACGTGGCAGTCGGGGAAGCTGAAGTCCAGCAGCTCCAGGGCATTCAGGACAGGAAGCTCGGGCCAGGAGCACAGCAGGTAGAGCATCTGGAGGACGCTTTGCAGTCAGGTGGTGGGGGGCCCACTGCTATCTCTCTATTCCAGTTGTGCCCCTGGTGCTCCTCTCCACCCACCTGGGCCACATCCTTGTGCTTGTTCCACTTGGTCACGAGCAGCAGGTGGGCCAGAGCCTCCTTCACTTCATGCCGCATCTTCCACACCAGGTCTTTCTCATGTTCATACAGCTCTCCCAACCCCCGCTGCTCCAGGATTCCCTGCAGCTGCAGCTTCTAAGGGGCGCAGGCAGACTGAGGCCTCCAGCCTAGCACCTGGCTCCATGCCCCACCAGCACCCCAGCTCACCTCCTCCTTTGTGGTAGGCCCATGCTCCCTGTGACGTCCCAGCTCTAGAATCTGCAACAAGTATACCTGCTGTGAGCTCCCCAGGCCTGGGCCAGCACTGGCAGGGCGTCTGCACCTCAGCACTACTGCCAACCACTCTTGCTGGTGGGAGCCCTCCTGCATACTGCAGGGCATTCAGTAGCATCTCCAGGCTCAGCCTGCCTCAGGCCAGTAGTGCTCTCCCATC